CAACATGATTTAAATACTGGTTTCTTTCCATTATATTCTGGCTATTGTTCCAAAGGTAGAAAATACATAAATAACAATCATCTACCATTTCAAACACTGAAATTAGGAAAAGAACCAGCCGGGGTTCACGTGTGAGGGCTAGTGAATACTAAGAAGGCACTTTGTAATGTGCTGCATACATTACAGAATTCACAGGAAACAAAAAAGGGTACTTTTAAGATAATTTATCTTAGCAGAAATGACCCTCAGAACAGGTTGTTCTCTTACCAGCATGTCAGTGGCACTGAGATAGTGCTTGCTGACCATGCACTGTTCCAGTTTTTGAGGTACTTGCTTGATGTTCTCGATTTCATCTAGCAGGTTCAGGACATGCTTGTGTTCAATTCCTTCAATCCACAGTTTCCGAAGTTCATCTCGTTTGCAGTGCAGTAACATCTTGCACGAAAGAAGATTCTCTTTTACCTACAATAAAACAGATCCAGTCTTGAGCCAGTCTAAACCCATAATCTAGTTAGCATTCCTCAGTGGTTCCACTATGCAAAACAGTTTCTAATTCCCACTCCCACTTATTTCCCTTGGTTGGTCTGCTTACAAAATTCCAATCCTGGTTTTGACACTGACTCACTTGGGTGCATCTCTACCTTTTTGAGCCTGTATTTTCTCTACCATGAAATGAGAAAACTACTCCTAACATACCTTTGAATGAATCTAGAAATAATTACTACAAATATAAAGCACTCTGAAAATATAAAGCACAACATAAATGTTAATATATATAAAAAGGGAATAGTCAATGTAAGTCCAAAGCCATTATTCCTTCTCCAATCCTCCTTGAAGATGTCTGATTTAGCTGATAGGTCACTTGGTCCATGCTTCTAACTCTAAAACGTTAGGCAAATTTACAAGTAAGGAGCTAAGCACTCTTCTCAATTGCCTACAATAAAAATAACCCACTTCTAAAAAAGAGTAAGCATATCCAGATATAATCTTAAAATTAAAGAACATACCAAGGATTTTTTGCCTTTATATTCTGAAAATCAGATATTAAATAAGACAATCTCCAGCATTCTGAAGGTCTGCCCAGTGTCCTGACTAGCATAGGCACAAAACGACAAAATTAAAGGGCAAGGAGTGGAATGAGGGGGAGACTCACAATACACATGGTAAGAGTAAGGGTTTTTTAATTGATTTATTTATTTCAATTAGGCACATATGACAGCTGAATGCATTTTGATTCATTGTGCACAATTGCAACACAACTTTATATTTCTCTGGTTGTACACAATGTAGTGTCACACCATATGTGCAGTCATACATGTACCTAGGGTAATGATGAAGAGTAAGTCTTTATTTTGTGCCCTGATTTCTTACAACATGGAAAAAAAATTTAATCGTGACCTTTGACCATTCACAAAACTGCTTTCATATACTTTTAACAATCCTCATATATTTTATTTAAATTAAAATTCAGTATGTATTTATAGTTTTGTCTCTGGTTTGTTTGAGCTAAAATTTTTATGCCTGACTACATCTCAAGTGTACCATGAGATGAGTTTAAGCAAATGCATAAGGTTATATAACCAAACCTTCATCAAGATGAGGCATTTTCATTACCCTGGAATATCTGCCATGTTTTTGACAACTAAAAAATCTGTATTCCTCTTCTGCAATATTTGGTGTGTGTTCATGTGCATATTCACTGACCCTCTAATTCTGTGGTTACAAACTAAATTTCCACATTTTTCTAATAAGCACAGAATATATGAAGATAGAATGCTAAGATTAAAATGTTTCTTGAGGAAGATCCTAATCCATTTCTGTAACACCTAAATCATATTTATATGATACTCTCCCATGTTTAAAAACAAAGATTTCTTGAGTAAGAAAACTTTGTGATGTCCCAAGATAGGCTTGGTAGAATGGTAGGCATGGGGTGAGGGGTTACAGACCCCTTGAAAAATCTTACAGAAATGGCTCCCATTATCTTATTCCTTCCTGCAATCTCACCAAAGTAAAGGCAAAGAAATTCTTTCTTAAGCAAAGAACATCAAGAAAAGAGAAGAGAGGAAGTAACCTCAAATAAGAGATAGCAACAGAATTCTAGAAGATGGATGGTGTGGGCAACTGAATTAGCAAACCAGAGAAATCTGAACACCTCAGCCTGGACTGAGAGTTTGTACCAATGAAAAAAGGCACCAGGTATTCAGAAGGCAGAAGTTCAGCGTTACAACTTTCTGTAGGAGTACTTAGAGGGCCAAACTCCCATCAAGCTATCCAGACAGGTAATTCCTTTCCCTCACACTGGCCATTCTGGAGAGACTGAATTAGAAAGGATTTGAACCAGGCTGAGGGGAAGGCATGAATGCTGGATAGAGAGCCTATTGGACAGCATGCTCCTCAGCACCTCTGGACCCTCTACCTTCTTCAGGGATCTGGCTCTAATTAACAGGAGCAGCTCAACTTTCAACCCCAACACAGGAAAATTTATGATTTTCCCAGGAAAATGTCCCAGTCCAAGTAAAAAGTCCTGTCTAATAGTGACAACTAAGGTTTCACTGAAGAAACCACCAAGTACCTGCCCAATCATCGAGCACAAACCCCAGAATATGTTCTGTGCTTCTAACCAGCTCCCTCCCTCTTGCAGACAAATGGTCACCATTCAAGGAAAGCATGTAGAATGGACAGACAAGCATCTAAACAAGCAAAAAGAAAGAAGTACTGAAAGGAGTGGGAAATAGAAACTATGCAGGAAACAGAATTTAAAAAAAAAAAAAAGCTATAATTAACAGCCTGAAGAAAAATAAGAGACATTATTACATAAAACAGCAAAACAAGACAGGTGCTACAAAAATTTTTAGAAAATGAAAAACAACTCTTAGAAATTTAATTACAGAAATTTTTAAATTTAATAGAAAGGATGGAAGACATTCTTGAAGAACTCTGCAAACAGAAACATATATAAACATACACAAACAACAGGTAAGAGATAAAAGAAAATGAGAAGATTGGCCTAAAAGTCCAGGAGTTCCAGGAAGAGGAAAATGAGAATAGTGGAGAAAAGGCTAATAAAATTTCACTAAAAATTTTCCCAGAACAAAAAACATGAGTTCTCAAACTGAAAACGCACATCAAGTGCTCAGGGGAATGGAGTGAGAAAAGACCGCACCCAGGACACATCATCCTGAAGTCTAAGAACACCAGGGATAAAGAAACAATCTAAAAGCTTTCCAAAGGAAAAGGAGAAAGCAGGACCTACACAAAGGTGTAAAAATCAGAATGACATCAGACTGTTCTCAACTGCAAGACTAAAAGCTATAATACAAAGGAATATTATACCTTCAAAATTCTGAGAGAGGATTCTTTCCCAGAAAAACAATCAATCCAACATGAGGAAAGAATAAACACATTTTCAGACATGCAAGCTCTCGAAAAGTGAATATTACATGTACCAGGCCCCAGCACATTTCTAAACAATGTGCTCTCCCAATACAGGAGACAAACAGAAGAAAAGAAACATGGGATCCAGGAAAGGGTAAAACTATTATAGAACTCAGGCAACAGGAGTATCCATTCGATAATTCCAGAGAAAACAAAAACAGCAACAAAACTGCACAAGAGAAAATGTAATTACTGTGTGCAACTTGAAAGTAAATATTTATGTAGTTCTAACAAGGTAAGCACTGATAATTTAACCAAAACCAAGATACAACTTCTATATTTAGAGAGAATGAAGGAGGAAGATGTAATAGGCTGGGGAAAGGAGGAAGGACTAAGTCCTCATCCTCCATAGCTAAAAGTCAACATAGAAGATCCCAAAGAGAAAATGCAAGAAAAAATAATGTGAGCAAACTAATAAAAACAGAAAGACCTGTGGGGCCTGTGGATTAGAAGAGTGACTAGTCAGTGCCTCTGAAGCACTGGAACTTGAAATGTGGTAGGATAAAGTAGGAGAATCCTGGCATCTATCACCATTTCTGGTTTTGACTTTTAAACATCTATCTCAAGGCCATTTCTGACTCTTGAAGTTATTGGTTGCTGGATTAAGAACTTCAGATATTAAACTCTTTTTAACTTAGTTAAAATCTTTTCACAAATGGACTTCTGATATTCTACTCATATCCTTGGTTCTCTTAGTCTCAGCTTTTTCTTCTGTGTAATGGTCACCATGGAAGTAGAAAAAATAAATTTTATGTCATACAACACTCAACTAGGCTCCTGATAAATTTTATGTCATACAACACTCAAATAGGCTCATGATAAATTAACAAACTATCAGTAAAATTTGGCAAACTCTTGTATGATTGGGAAAAGACCATTATGGCATTTCACACTAGCATATATACAATGTCATTCCCTCACTTTTTACTTCTTCACACTACCTGGAAGGAAAAGTGAAAGGCAGAACTTTTCAGGACAGGTGGGCAGAAGGCAACATAGGCATCAGACTGTGCAGAAAATGAACATCACCAAAATTATTCCCTAAACTGAGGTAACACGGGTGCAAACATAAGCCACAATAACTTTTATTACAAATTATCCAGAGTCTTCAGCTTTTATATTTGTACATCACAATTAAAAAGAACTATTATTTTAAAACTGGGAGCTAGTCAGCAATTAAAAAAAGAAGAAGAATCAAAAAGAATCTCAAAACTACATGATAAGCAAGACATGGGGGTGCATGTTTACAAACCCAGCAACTCAGAAAGCCAAGGCAGGAGGATCACAAGTTCAAGGCCAGCCTCAGCGATTGGAGAGCTCAAAGTCAAAGGACAGCATGCTCTTCAGCACCTCTAGACCTTCTACCTTCTTCTACTTATCTCAAAATAAAAAAACAAAAAGGGCTGGGGATGTAGCTCAGTGGTAGAGTGCCCTGGGTTTAATTCACAGTAGCAAAATAATAATAATAAGGAGGAGGAGGAGGAAGAGGAGGAGAAAAAGGAGGAGAAGAAGAAGATGATGATAAACCAGGGATAGTAGTAGATGCCTAAAATCCTAGTGACCGGGAGGCTGAGAAAATGGAATCACAAATTCCAGTCCAGCCTGGGCAATTTAACAAGAAACTCAGCAACTTAGCAAGACCCAGTCTCAAATAAATAATAATAATTTTTGTTAAAGAGTTGGGGTAGTTCAGTGGTAAAACAATGTAAGCATAAGAATCCAGGTGCAAAAGAAGGTATAAAGTATAAAGTTCTAGAACAGGCAAAAACCGAATCCAATTTCAAATTCATAGTAGCTTGTAACAAGATATGGGAAAGAAGCAACTGCATAGAGGCAGTAGAGAACACTCTAGGGCAATGGTAACATGTTCAAGGATATACACACTTGCCAAATTCACTGAACTATACTCTCAAAATACATGCTTCTAGTATATCTAAATTAGATCTAGACAAAGATGGGGACTACAGCCATTATAAAAAAAATAGTATGGCAGTTTCTCAAAAAATCAAAATACAACTAACTAC